TCAAAGATGCAATACCTTTCATGATAGCATCAAAGAAATTTAAATAAATATTTAAGAAGATATTTAATGAAAGAGATGAGATATATTTATAGGGATAACTATGAAACAATGACAAAAGAAATTGTAAATGATGTGCACAGATGAAAATCCCTACCATGCTCACGGATTGGTAGAATCAATATTGTTAAAATGTCTATTCTACCTAAAGTGTTCTACAGAATTAATGCAATTCCTATCAAAATTCCACCATCATTCTTTACAGATTTAGAAAAAATAATTCTACGCTTCTTCTAGAATCAGAGAAGACCTCTTATAGCCAAAGCCATCTTAAGCAAAAAGAAAAAATTGGGAGGCATTGCTCTGGCAGATTTCAATCTTCACTATAAGGCTATAGTAATCAAAACAGCATAGTACTGGCACAAGAACAGAGATATAGATCTTTGGAATAGGATGGAGATCCCAGATATAAAAGAGATCCCTCATATTGTCATCTAATCTTTGACAAAACAGACAAAAGTATACATTGTGGAAAAGAATCTCTGTTCAATAAATGGTGCCAGAAAAACTGTATAACCAATGCAGAAGATTGAAACTGGATCCCCACCTCTCATCTCTCACAAAAATCAACTTACGTTTCATAACAGACTTAAACCTAAGGTGGGAAACCTTAAGAATTCTAGAAGAAAATGTGGGGAAGACTCTTTTAGATATCAGCCTAGGTAAAGATTTTATGAAGAAGACCACCAAAGCAATCACAGCAGCAACAAAAATAAATGGGACGTGATCAAATTAAAAAGCTTCTGCACAGCAGGAAATGCAAATCAAAACCACAATGAGATATCATCTAACTCCAGTGAGAATGGTCTCTATCAAAAATCCCCAAATAACAAATGCTGGCATGGATGCAGAGAAATAGGAACAGTCTTACACTGCTGGGGGGGACTGCAAATTAGTGCAACCCCTGTGGAAAGTAATTTAGAGATACCTCAAAGAGCTAAAAATAGAAATACTATTTGATTCAGCAATCCCACTACTGGGCATCTACCCAAAAGAACAAAAGACATTCTATAAAAAAGACTTCTGTGCTAGAATGTTTATAGCAGCACAATTCACAATTACAAAGTTGTGGAAACAACCCAAGTGCCCATCACTACATGAGTGGATTAATAAAATGTGGTATATGTATACCATAGAATACTACTCAACTACAGAAAACAATGGTGATCTAGCACCTCTTGTATTATCCTGCATAGAGATTGAGCCCATCCTTTGATGTGAGGTATCGCAAGATGGAAAAACATGCACCACATGTACTTGCCATCAAACTGGTACTCATTGATCAATACTAAGGTGCTCACATGGTAGTAATATTCACGGCTGCTGGTCAGGTGGGGAGGTGGGGGATGGAGGGTAGAGTAGGTGGGGTGGGTAAACTCACAGCTAATGGAGATGGGGTGCACTTTAGGTGGCAAGGACACACTTGTGGCCCTGGCTTGAGTGAGGCAAATGCATTTCATGTAACCAAAATGTTTATAACCCCATAATATCCTGAATTTAAAAAAAAGAAAAACATTAAGAAGTACTTCTGTTGTCTTCACTTCACAACCTTCAAGTATGGCCATTGAGAATATAATACACAAGTAATTTTAGGAGAGCAATTTATGAAAGAGATGAGAGACCAGGCTGATAGAATAAAATTGCGATAGAATCAAATGTTATTTATCATAGAACATTTAATTTGTTAAAGTAAACTCTATAAGAGAATCATTCAATGTTGTGAGGCTGTGGGATTGAAGATTGCATATGTCGTAAAATACAATTTAATTCATCATACATTCACTTAATATTTACAGTGTACTATTTACTATGGCCAATGTAGTGATTAGCCCCCTAAAATTCCTGCATTCCTGTAATTTATTATTTAGTTTAGGATCCACAGAGTTCATACATAGAATGGTAATTGCTATTTTTAGGTGAGGTATAGACGACTATTTGCACTTGATACTGTAAATATTAAGTGAATGTGGGATAAACTAAATTGTACTTTGCTACATATGGATTAGATGGAAGAGTCAATTATGGGTTGATTTATGGGAATAAGGACTGTTTCTCTTTTGTTCATCATTGTTTTCTGGTACCTAGTATAGTGTCTGAGGTATAATAGGTAATCAGTAAGCACATGTAGAAGACACTGAATAAAGTTAGAAATATAGTTGGGATTAAGGGGTTAGCCCTTATGGCCTTCTTTGCAAATGCGGGTACACTGTTCAAGCACTCTATGCAGTATTGATATTGGTTTTGGACAGATCTACATTCTCCCAAGGATCCAGCATCTCTATGTGATACAGTCCTTTGGGACAGTAAAATTGGAAATGCATGTCATACTCTAGAGGGCATACTGCACATTTCCACCCTTAATCCTGGGGAATTAGCCATTTTCCTTGTTCTGTGAGACTCAAAACTTGTGTTTTTATGCTCCTTGGATAAAGTACATCTCAACTTTTAAATTATTCCCTCGGGGCTTTTATTCCTACCTGACTTTCCCTGGCCTCCAGGGAAATGACTTTGTAGTTACAGCCCGCGGTGCTAGTTAGCTCATTGTTACATCAGGGCAGGAACTGATGTATACCAAAATATAGACGAGAAAGCCCTGTGCTGTGGATGGGGGAAGAGGCATCTTCTACCCCTTCCCCATAGTCCTCGACGCCACCAAGACTGGCACAGCGATGGGTAGGTGGAATGTTGTTAAAATATTTACATAAACCACTTTATTTTTGAGACAATGAGATGGATATAACGATGGGAATTATTATGTAAAAAGCTCAGAGACTGTGGTAAGAAGCAGAAAGCCTCATGCAAGGAAATGTCTTACGGGAAATGTGGTAATACGGTAGAGCAGATCTTATCCATGGAGTTGGTGGACAAACGGTTCCCTCTTTGGCTTGATTCCAACAGTTAAAGCATTTTAAACTCAGGGGTGAGAAGATACCTTGGTCATCTGATACTTACGAAATGAGCCATTCTTAAACAAGCTCAAAAAGAGAAGGTTGTTTTGGTTTATGGGTATTTAGATATTCCCAAGTCATTAAAATAAACTAAAATTTTGAATCCTACCACCCCTGAAAAGAAGTCAGGAAAAAACCCCCAAGATCTTTGGTTACTTCTTATGATGGCTATTCAGGATGAGCCCTGGAAAGGGGGTGGGGGACAGGTGGGACCTGAGATGTTTCATTTTGAAGGGACTGGAGTTGGTAGGAGTCACAACTTTGAAAATTAACAGAAAAACAAAGGAGAAACTTAAAAGCAAAGAGACTCTTGCTTGAAAGTAACGTGGGTTGGAACAGGTATTTTAAAAAGAGAATTTCAGGAAACAAAATCAGGAGTCATGAAGCAGAGTCAGAAAAGATTAAATAAATTAATAAAAGAATTAGGTTTAGAGGTATTTGACAATTTTTTTCAGTCATTTATTCATCTAAAAATCCATTTAATCATCCATTCATCTATTCATTTATCAAATAAACACATATTGAGGACCATACCTGAGTGCCTAAGGTAGCTGTGTGCTAACAGCTACCTTAGGCACTAAACAGATACATAAATTAGACATGTTCCATGACCTCAAGGGGCTTTGAGTTTCTGTTATATTTTCATCAAAATACAAACTGAGGGCCGGGTGTGGTGGCACGCTCCTGGAGTCTCAGATACTTGGGAGGCTGAGGCAAGAGGATTGCTTGAGTCCAGGAGTTGGAGGTTGCAGTGAGCTATGATGATGCCACTGCACTCTAGCTAGGGTGACAAAGTGAGACCTTATCTCAAAATATACATGTATGTCATATATATAAACTGAAAATTACTATATAATCAAACGTTTTACTGAAAGTGTAAAAAGAGTGCTACTCTGAAGGCACAGAAATATATTTCTATGGAGCTTGTTCATAGAAAATTCATAGGAAATTTCAGACATTTTAGAAAGAAGGCCTTCTGAGAGTTGCTGGAGGATTTAATAATAGTGATTTATCAATAGTCACAAAGAAGTGTGGTGCTGGGAAGCACGTGGAGAGATGGTGGTGTTTAGAAGTCAGAGGCTCTCGTCTTCCTCTCCAAGCTATTTCTTAGATCTGTTCTTAGCTTTCCAGATCTAAGCATAGCAGTTGGAGTAGAGAAAAAAACCAGGTATTAAAGGCCAGTGTTTTGGAAATCACATTAAGATGATAGTTTCCTGATTGACCTTACTGCTTTGCAAAGGAAAATAATAATAATTATTATTAAGTACAAGCTACATGCAAGGTATTTTTCTGAGCTTTATATGCATTAATTCATTAATCATTCCATTAATACCTTTGAGGTAGGTACTATTATCATCTCCATTTCACTGATGAGACACATTGAAGCAGAGAGAGGCAAATGAGTTTCCCAGGATTACACAGCTAATAAGGGATTCAGCTGTGGTTAGAACCAAGACACTAACACTTCATATCTGTTTGTTATAAGGGAAATAAGCAGCAAATGATCCTTAAAAAATTCTCATATTGAGATTAGCCCTTCTCCGACCCTAATGTTTTCTTTTTGCCTAGTTTACTGTGGGAAAAAATGTATATGCAAAATCAATATTACTACATCTTAATACTTTCTGCTATTCTTCTATTTATGAGATTTGAGGTCCCTGGGACTTCATATATCTATGTATACGGTGGAAGTGCTTTTGTACACTCCCTTCTCACCATATCACAGAATAAGATAGGTGAGCTTGATATCTTAGGAATAGGAAAATCCAAGTTATTTCTTTTAGGTGTTGCATGTATCCACAATGCATATAGTCTATCATTGTTTCTCTACATCGTCACCTACATCATTTTTAATGTACCTTTCTGGGATTTTTACTCTCGATTTACTTTTATTTTCATAGAATCATAGAATTTTAGAGCTAGAATATTCCTTAAAGTTCTAGTTAAAATCCTTTGTGTTGCTAGGAAGTAACTGTTGTAGAGGAAGGCTGAATGACCTTCTCAACATCACACATGCTCTTGTTTTCCCCCAAAGCACTGATTCTCTCGAGGAGAGTTCACAGTTCACTCACCTACAAGGAGGGCCCCTGTACGCCTAGATATTTCCATAGGCATCCTCCAGACACTACATCCCTGCAGATTAAGAATAGGAGTTCACTAGAAGTTATTAAAAGAGGAGTAGCCTCGCATGCAGAAACTTGGGAAGAGTAGGTGAGTGGATGTAAGATAAAATAAAAACTTCTTAACCCACTTATCTATCTGCTCCAAGGGTAAGCACTTGTTTGGAATCAATATCCCCTGCTAAATGGCAGCCCTAGAAAGAAATTCCCTAACTCAGTCCCCGTGGATGGCTTATCTCCCCTAAGAGTTACCCACAAACATCATTCCTTGCTCTGGGTTTTCCTGGCACAATTCCCAGCCTTTCTTAGAGTGTGACAGGGCACACCTAAATACGTATAGTAGATTCAGCCAAATTTTAATAAAGGACCTGGAATGTGTTGGATGAATCTCATTTTAGACACAGAAGAAATAAAGACATTTTTTTAAAAAACCATTACAGAGCTCAATTTCCAGCTGCCTTTAGTAGTATGATAATAACAACATTACAATCACCATTAAATTTTGCCAGTTGCATCTTGTAAATATTTTCTAAACTATGCATTTCTCTAAATAGTTATTGCTGTATCTTTAGTTTAAGCGACATAGTTTTTTCCTATAATCTTGTCTCGCTCATATTTATTCACATAGTAGCCAGGGTGATATTTCTAAGTTGAAAATCCTATTAAACTATTCCCTGGGTTTTATTTTAAAATATATTAGAAGCCATTAAAATCCAATTGTCTTATTGTGCACTAAATTATGCTGTCTTTGACTATCTCTTTATTCTGTTATTGTGCCTTTCCTAAGTGTAGGTCTCCTACAGTTCCTAGAAACTCTTACTTGCCACAGGGCCTTTGCATTTGCTGTTCTCTGTCTCTAAAATGCTTTCCTCCAAACTTTCAAAGTTAGTGAAATGCCACCAATTCAGAGAGAAGCTTTTCTGAAACACTCCGTCACTACACACCACCCTTCCACCCCAATTTTCTTTCTATACTAATCTCTTTTTTTCCTACTTGTCTCTTATTACTAGTGGTAATTATTTTGTTTTACTTATTTATATTTTATTTGTTTATTATTTGCTTGTTTACTTGTCTGTTTATATTTCTGGAATGGAAGTTTAATGAGGCAGAAATAATCTTCCTGTTCATTATTATAGTCTCAGCAGTTAGTACATAGCAGATACTCCATAAATATTTGTTGAATAAACAAATGAACAATTTATAGAAGTGACACAGAAGCTATATATTTGAGGCAGAGCCTTTAATATCATGTGTAGAGAGCTTTCTTTTGACATGTGTTAAATGACAAACGTGGCCAGCTAGAATTGTGTGTTTTATGGTATTTCAGGCCATGGTGTCAAGTTAATGTAGGGAAAATATGTATTGGTCCTTCACTGAGGAAGTGGCATTGCTTAGTAGTGTGTGTGTGTGTGTGTGTGTGTGTGTGTGTGTGTATTGTGAGTAGCGCTGGGCACTGCTAGCTGGGGGAATAAGTTTGACTGGCTGTCTGACGATGGATTGAGATGATCCAGTAAAACGTCTCTTTCCAACTTGATGGTTGTGAGGAGTGGAGGAAAGAGAAAGGCTGAATGCTCTGCATTATTTTCATAAATACATGAGGTTAGTTTTGGTTCTTAATGCAAAGTATATATCATTATTATCAAATTTTATTTCAAATCTTGAACATTGAGATAAAAAAGAAAATCTCTTTGACACTTTCTGGTAAAATGACCCTTTGTATTCCATAATGCCTGATATGTATTTGTTTTTCCAAGACAACACTCAGTTGCCTCAATTCATTCGTTCTAGATTAGTGCCATTTTCTGCTTCCTCTTTGGTGGGATAGGTACAGAATAGAACAGAAGAGAAAGGAGCGACTTGTATGACAATAATCAGAATCATCATATCGCTGTCTTCCATGGAAATAGAGAGAAAAGCTTAGGGTCTTATGATAGTATTTACTACTTTGAAATATTCATCTCCTTTTAATAAGGAAGATAATTATTCAATTAAGAACAAATAACCTAGTCACTTCCATCTGTTCAAACGCTATATAACAAAATGTACAAATGAATTTAGTAATCATAATATTTTAAACGCTCTTGGTAGAGGTTTTTTCAATTGTTGAAAACTCAGAGTTTACTCATCAGTGAATGTAATGAGTTAGTATGCTGCAGGGGGGAGGAGGGAGGAGGGGATGGGTATATACATACATAGTGAGTATGATGCGCACCATCTGGGGGATGGACACGTTTGAAGCTCTGCCTTGAGGGGGGAGGGGAGACAAGGACAATGTATGTAACCTTAACGATTGTACCCCCATAATATTCTGAAATGAAAAAAAAAATTTAAAAACATATTATGTACTTACTGTGTTGTTATGAAGGCTATGGGATGATGCCTTCTCCAGATAAGTACAGTAAAACCATTGCTTTCTGGAGTCTTAGGAAATATGTTATTCTGGATAGCTAAGTTTTTAAGAAAATTAAGTATTGAAAACTGGCAGCATTATCTTTCTTTTGATTAAACTCTTTCTAAACCAAATTTTAAATCTCCCTATGTTACTAAATATGATTTTTTTTCTTTTTTCTTTCTTTTTCTTTTTTTCATCCTAAGGGTGCAAATGGAAAGGAAACTAAATATGATTAATCAACTCACTGAGGCCCACACTGGGCAATTCATGGGCATAGAGATATTTGCCTCTTTTTCTAAATAGCCCCACACTTCTGACTTTCTGAATGTTTCTGTATTTCTGCCTATTTTCTTGCTATTAGATTCCTGGACAACACTGGTTTTTTCTTGACACGTCTACTAGTAATAAGCCAACACTTCTTCTTAATACAATGTTCTATAACATATTGGAAGTCATACGTCTATGTTTATTAAAATCATGTACAAATTGAGCCAGTAGGTTCCAAGGAAGCAACATTCTGTTTCTTTAGTCAAAAGCATGCACAGCATCCACACATGCCTGGACACTGTCACATCTATTTGATTTTATAGATCCTTAACTTTTTTTGTTTTTTTATATTTGATTTTTTAAAGCATCACTGAGGAGAGGCAATATTATAAAATATCACATCAATAGAAAACAAGCAACTCTCTTGTATTTACTATTGGTTACAATAAATACTTACTTTGGTATGGCAGTTTTTAACTTTACTTAAAAGAGGAAGCATGTTTGGTAAAGTGAATGATTATTTCCTTTTTATTGTACAGGTCTTGTCCTATCTAGCAGCTTCAGGTTCAATACTGGATCTTAAGCAAAATTTTAGAAATAATCTTATTCCCACTGTCTCTTTGAAATGGCAGAATCAATCAGTATAGGGTCAGCTTGGGTAGCAAGCATACCCATTTCTTAGATCACTACACCTTTTTCCTACTTTGCTGATAGGGTGGGGAAACTTCTTGGTCAGGGTAATATTGGGTATTGAGGGATCTGGTCACAGCCAGAAAATTTATTTTTATGTAGGGCCCTGCATTGCTCTTTACTGTGGCTGGTGTTACTTATTACCAAGGATTAAACTATAAAAGTTTTGATTATGGAAATATAATGCCTATTCACGATTCATGAAGCCTTGAGATCTCTTTTATAGATTACAATGAAATACTGCCACACAAACATATGTGTCAGACTGCAAGTTTCTGAGATTTCCCAACCAAAAGTGATCTAGGAAAAACAGGTTTCATTTCTGATTGCCAGTCTAAAATTTGGCTAAACTCAAAAATAGCTGCATATATTGCTTACTAATGTAGATGTTTGGGGGAAGGATTAGTGCATTGTCAAGTTTCATACAAAATAGGATCTTATGACATTAACAAGCTGAGATTTGGGTTTCAGATATATGCCACATTTTATATGTTTTAATATTTCTAATTTTTAGGGTCATCACTCTCTTCCTATCTTGGTTTTTCACATATAAAATGGGGTGATCAAATGTATCTGTATGCATTCTTAATGATAGGGAACAGATAACAATTTTGAAAGCAGTGATATAACCCAAGTTAAATACTACTTGGAATAATTATAACTTCTTTATTTTTCATAGCAATATTATGAAAAGAGTTAATTGAAGAAATGGAACCTGCAAACTACACCATGGTGACAGAATTTATTCTCACTGGTCTATCCCAAACACGGGAGGTGCAACTGGTCCTATTTGTTATATTTTTATCCTTTTATTTGTTCATTCTTCCAGGGAATATCCTTATCATTTGCACCATCAGGCTTGACCCCCATCTGACTTCTCCCATGTATTTCCTGTTGGCTAATCTGGCCTTCCTCGATATTTGGTACTCCTCCATCACGGCCCCTAAAATGCTGGTAGACTTCTTTGTGGAGAGGAAGATAATTTCCTTTGGAGGATGCATCGCACAACTTTTCTTCTTGCACTTTGTTGGGGCTTCGGAGATGTTCCTGCTCACAGTGATGGCCTTTGACCGCTATGCTGCTATCTGCCGCCCCCTCCACTATGCTACCATCATGAATCGACGTCTCTGCTGTATCCTGGTGGCTCTCTCCTGGATGGGGGGCTTCATTCATTCTATAATACAGGTGGCTCTCATTGTTCGACTTCCCTTCTGTGGCCCCAATGAGTTAGACAGTTACTTCTGTGACATCACACAGGTTGTCCGGATTGCCTGTGCCAACACCTTCCCGGAGGAGTTAGTGATGATCTTTAGCAGCGGTCTGATCTCCGTGGTGTGCTTCATTGCTCTGTTAATGTCCTATGCCTTCCTTCTGGCCATGCTCAAGAAACACTCAGGCTCAGGTGAGAGTACCAACAGGGCCATGTCCACCTGCTATTCCCATATCACCATTGTGGTGCTAATGTTTGGACCATCCATCTACATTTATGCTCGGCCATTTGACTCTTTTTCCCTTGATAAAGTGGTGTCTGTGTTCCATACTGTAATATTCCCTTTACTTAATCCTATCATCTACACATTGCGAAACAAGGAAGTAAAGACAGCCATGAGGAAGTTGGTCAACAGGTATATCTTATGTAAAGAGAAGTGAAAGATATATATTATATTTTATAATTCTCTTGAGGAGCATTGCCCTAAAGTAGGAAGAATTTGAAGTCGTAATAATGCTATGTTCACTTCCTTTCATCTGTGTTTTTAAAATTTCACTATGATTTTCCTCTATTCTACTTTATAGGAAAAAGAAAAACAACAAAGGCATTAAGATGAAAATAAATTTACTTGTACCCACCCTGAAATTTCTGGCAGATCATTATCAGAATTTGAAATATAATAATGGTCTGATAAAACACATTTTCACTGGTTATTCATTGAATAACTACCCTGGAGAGGCTCTGGCTGTATCTCAGGATAATGTATTGAGAAATAAAAAAAAAATAAGACCTAGGAGACATGTTCATTATAGATATGAAGTGGCTAGCATATAAATGCAACTAGCTTCAAATTAGCAAATTAAATGTTGTCATATTTCAATGTTAGCCCAGTGGGATGGTGTTTGGTAAATCATCTTCCTGGGCCTGGAAAAACAGATTATTCATTTGTCCTTTATCTCTTTCTCTTCCTAGAGTTAATGATGGAAACCGAGGATTCATTATACAAGATATTACAACTAGTATTTCAGGTGGTAGGCATTTAGTAGTATTGGTGACAGAACTCAAGATTTTTTTCACATTATGGAAACAATTTTTATGAATTCAGAGCAGAGATTAGTTCAGTTGCTACATGAAATTCCTCTTGTTCCAGATGAAGCCTCCAACCAACTAGTGGTTTTCATAGACAATCTCTGCTTACATCCTTTAGAGTGAAAGCAGGCATGAGAGGAAAGGGTTCTAAATTGACTTGGGTTGATAGGCATCTAGCCGTCTAGCAACAAACAGTAAGGCAAGCTAGTGTAGGAGAAGTACTACATTTAAATAACCCAATATCCTCAGCAGTCAAATACCAATAGTTTTTTAAAAAACTATTATCTCCTTTGCCACTTGTATGTTTTCTGTATTTGCTAATTCTGCCTCTAATGTTAAATTAGTAAGGTGTTGATTTTGTTAGCACTTAAAGTCAGAATTCTTTCCCAATGACCATTTTTTTTTTAGTGCACATGGAAGGGACCTAGATATATTGATTCCTATGATCCTCTAATGAATTATTTATTAGAGATTAAATTCCTATTTCCTGACACTAAGAACTCAATCAATTACCATGTTTCAGACTGTAAAAGGTAGATTAGAATGTTTGAATTCATAGGAAATGTTTATTTGTTAATACTCAAATTTAAGTTTTCAGTTTCAAAACTAGGGAGTCTTTCCACCAAAGGGTGAGAACACTTTGTGTGCATTGAGTGTTTTAGTCTTATATTTTATTTTATGATGGAATATTACTAGACTTTGAGGCAAATAGATTCTTGTCAACATCAGGAATGAATATATATAAATAAATGGTAAAAGTAATCTCAGAGTTACTATTTGTCTACAGAGATTCTATTTATTAATTGAGGACGTGATTCATGCTAGTCCTGGTGTACCTCAGGTACACAGGATGGAATGATGGAACATAATGTTTGGGAAATTTTCCCTATGATGACCTTCTTCCATCTCCAATGCTATGTGACTTCTCTACTAAGAACCCAAAGACCCAAATTCAAGTTATGATTCTTGAATTTTGGGTTGACTTGGAAATGAATAAAATAGTAGACTTTTCTAATGTTTTGTAACATAGCATAAAAATATAAAGTAAAAAAGACATATATATATGTATACACACCTAATAAAAATGATATATTATGTTTCTAGTCATTATATTACCTTATTGTCATTTCTCCATATGCAAACCAGCAAGATTTCTATTCATTTTGTCACTTATCCATCATCTAAATAGGATTCATATTCTTAGGAAAGAGACCACTGACTTGGTATGCTCTTCAACTACCAGTACACTACCACCACAGAGGATATTTGTTCAAAATATTGAAGTGAGGTATAAGAAAGAAAAAAAGCATAAAAATAGTAGCATGATATTTAATTGCTTACTTAGAAATATTATCTGAAATTATAAACTAATATTAGTGGAGAAATGGAGAACATTTTTCCAACTAGTAAGTAGTAATGCAGCCTGATTCATGGAGGACGTGATTGGAATGAGGACTGGGCAATTTCACTGGCCCACCCCACCATGGGACATTTGGCGATGCCGGGAGACCATTTGGCGATGCCTGTGACCATTTTTGCTGGTCACAACTAGGGATTGTGGGCATGGGGGAGGGGAGGGAGTAAAAACAAACAAACAAATAAACAGCTAGGGGTTTCTATTAGCAGCTTGTATAGTTAAACATCCTACAAGGCACTGGACAGCCTCTTCCCCCTACCCCATCCTCACACTGACAAACTATCTGGCTGAAAAATGTCAGTTGTGTCAAGGTGGAAGAAATCTGTCAGGCTGAGAAACACAAATTCAATAATGAGAAGGGATAAGGCAGGCTTATATAGGAGAAGATGGCATTAAACAGCCTCATACACAATCTTGTCACCTGCAGTACTACATTCAAATAACGCAGTATCCTCAGAAGTCAAATATCAAATTTGCCTTGTAACTTGTTTATCCCACATAACTCTTTCATATTTCTTCTCAGTTACTTCTAACGTCTTTTAATTTTTTTTGTCTTTTCTATTTCTACTTCTTTCCAAATCTGATGCCGAGCTTCCATTTTTAAAATTAGCTGTATCTAGACTGAATGAATTATCTTTAGCCCAACATTGTGATTATACTTTCAATTATACATGGACTTGTGTGAGATCTTAGAACCCATGTTGCATTCATCTGGTGTTCTTTTTTTTTTCTTTCTAATCTCGATATTAACATGGATTTTACTATTACATCTGGCAAAAAACCCAACCTTATCATCTAAACAAAATTAAAGTTCTCCTGTTTTTTAATTATTAAAATACACACACCTATAAAAGTTCATTAAAAGTTTAAAATGTATGAGTATTTAAGGAAAAAACCCTAAATACCACTGGCATTCTTTTTCTCAGGGATTTGGGGGTTTCCTTTAACAAGGGTTATGAAGTCTCACCACCCTGCCCACTGGAGGCAGGCTGATTGTCCTAGCATGCATTACTCTGTAATGCAACCCATGTCATTAAGTAAGTGATGGCGAGGGTAGGGCACAAGCTACAAAATTCTTCAGACAGATAAGCGTAGCCCTCAGATTTTATATCCAATAAAACTGGCATTCAAACAAAAAAAAGCTACAGATAGTTTTAAATAGGCAACAAAAATCTGAGAATGTTGTTTGCAAGACCTTTTTTGAAGAAATCACCAGAAAACAAACTTCAGTCAACCATGTGAAGACAAAAAACCTAAGACAAAAGTCTGGGTACTAAATATATTTTATAGTAATCCCCCCTTATTTGCAGAAGATGCATCCCAAGACCCTCAGTGGATGCCTGAAACTGCAGGTACCACCAAACCCTATATATATTATGTTTTTTTCCTATACAAACATACCTATGATAAAGTTAAATTTATAAATTAGACATAGTAAGAGATTAAAAATAATAGCTAATAGTAAAACAGAACAACACTAACAATATGCCAGCATCACTACTCTTGCAGTTTGGAGTAATTATTAAGTAATATAAGATTTACTTGAATGCAAGGACTGTGATATCGTGACAGTTGATCTAATAACCCAGACGGCCACTCAGTGAGTAATGGGCAGGTAACATGTACAATGTGGACAAAGGGATAAATCACGTCCCTGGCAGGACAGAGCAGGGCAGGTCGAGATTTCATCGAGCTACTCTGAATGGCATGCAATTTAAAATTTGTGAATTGTTTATTGCTGGAATTTTTTATTTTAGTATTTTCTAATATTTTCTAACAGCAGTTGATCATGAGTAACTGAAGGTGCAGAAAGCAAACCTGTGAATAAAGGGGAACTACTGTATTTAATATAATATTAAGTTATTAAATGATATGAAACCATAAGCTTCAGCCCAAAACTAATGTGAGGATTCTCATGGCAGAGCTGTATGACGTGCTGTATGCTACAACAATACAGAAACCATAGAACTGCTCTCTGTTTCCATCCAGCAGCACATTAGACAGATTTCCTGCACCTCTCACTAAGAACAAATCAGATGTTGGATAAATATCTTTTGAAATATTTTGATAAGCTGGCAAAACCCCCCAAACATTATGGAAATCGAGAGTCCAAAAATCAAATAAAATAGAGAACCCAGAGAAATAGATGAAGAGAAACCAGCTTTTACTGTGAAGATTTGTGTTCTGTTTACAAGCCCACAAGGATAGGAGATGGGGTTACAGAAGAATAGGAGACAAAAACCAGAACGCAACCAGTGATAAGTTCATCCAGTGATACATTCCCAAACTGGCTGAGATCCTAAAGGGTATAGTCTCAGGGTAGTGGTGAGATAGGTTTTTTTGTTTTTTGTTTTTTTTAAAATCTACCATTCAAAAGACGCAAGAGACAAAAGGAAATTTAATGAACCACAAGTGGGCTAACACATATTTTTTGATTTTGAGTTTCACTAGGAGCTGGTATTTTGTTCAGTTTCTGGTTCCAGTGTTGTAATGCCTCCTGACAGAAGGGGGCACCAACATCCTCTGGAGGGTCTTATTTGTGTTTATTTCAGGACTCAAAATATTTTACAGATGAACTTTCAGGAAATAACAGCTTACGGTCAGACATCAGAGAGCACACAAAAAAGCAAAGCTCCATGAAGGACAGCAAGAAGGACAACAGACAGAAAGATCAAAACCACAAAAGAGCTATGGAGTATAAATTAAGTAAGCTCAGTACATGTGAAGAAATAATTGAAAGTATTAATAAGGATAAAGATACTATTAAATGAATAGGAAAATCATAAGAAAAATGAAGAGAACTTCAGATTCAGATTAAAAATTCAATAAATGTATTTAATTATAAATTGGACACAACAAGAGAGAAACAATAACCTAGAATATAGAGGTGAGGGCAGAGACTATGCAAGGCAGAGACAAAATGAGTGAGAAAAAAAATGAAAGAGAGATTAAGAGACATTGAAAATAAAATGAAAAGCTCTAAATATATCTCAGTTTCAAAGGAAAGGATAGACAAAAT